CGTCCTCAAATAGATGCAGTGAAGTATTGTTCTTCAGGAGGAGGCTGCAGCAATGGAAAGAGCAAGTCGGATGGAGTTTCAGAGGGAAAGAAGAAGACTCCTTCGCCATTTCTGAAATTAGAGTTGACACCCAACCGTTACAAGAACGGACAACTAGTAAGTTCAACAACTTTGTTCTCATGAAAGTGTGTATCTTTGATATATAGTCATGACTTTGAACGTTCTCATGAAAGTTTGTATCTTTGATATATAGTCATGACTTTGAACGTTTGTAGAGTATACGATGTTAATGATTAGATATTTTTCAGTATCTTTCATCGCCTTTCACTACCGAGAATGGCATTAATAAGCCTGGGGAGGTAACTCTGCTGAACAAAGATGGAAGAAAGTGGTCATCTAATCTACATATGACAGGAGACGTTCGACGCCGAACTGAATGGTTTTATTTGAGAAGAGGTTGGAGAGAGATGTGCGAAGCGAATGGAGTGAAAGTAAACGACTCGTTCGTGTTGGAATTGATATGGGAAGATGCAAATCCTATGTTTAAGTTCCACTCTAAGGTGAACCACCAACATAACTTTTTGTATGTACAAAAGCTTTTTTGCTTTGCTTTGTTAAACTTGGAGCCTAAAAATGTCTCTTGAGTTCCTTTTTCAGATTGAAAACCATGAAAAGAAGGACAAAATGAACTGCAAAAATCGTAAGAAGAGAGCTTGTGAGGCTGATTTACTGGAAAGGGCTGTGGAAAAGACTCCAAGAGTTGAAATAGAGGGAAGGAGAGTAAGTCGCATAGCAGAGCATCACGATGATGATGAGAAAAGAGGAGGCACTCGGATTTCAAACAGACTCACTATTACAAACTCAAGAAAATCGCAGTACACGCAACCAAAATCTTGCACAGTCTCTGATCAAGTGACTAACGTGAAACGGAGCATTGTAGATACTCTGAACACTGTAAGGCAGCTTCGCTCAGAGCTCAAGACAAGGGAACGGAATCTGGAAGCTTCGCTACTGGAAATTGACGCCTTAGGTGTGTTTCTGAATCAAAGATCTACTTGTCTTTCGGGAAATCAGTTTTGTTATACTCAAGGTTTATTAATTTTTTGATGATGAAACAGGGGAGAGGATATTGGGGATCAGCCAAATCCTCAACAATAAACTGGTTTAAGGTAAAACCGAAGAGCGCGAACAAGGAACAAACGACTATTTGCATGCATCTTGAATCATTCAACCGTGGTGGGGTTAAGTAGATTCTTCTTCTTCTTCAAAGCACATTAGATCTTTTTCTCCGGTATTCTAGACTTTCGATCAGTTCTATGGCTCGGTAAGGTTGTAGATTTGAAAAGTTTGTGACTTGTGTTCTTCAGTTGTATACTTTGTTTGTTATGTCGCTAAGGAAATATTACTATCAAAATGCATTATGAGTTTTATTAATCATTGTCTACTTCGGTGCTTATATATTTAACCTGCCTAAAGCAACGTGGAATACTCTTCCATTGGAACCTTGTCCTATCTTTTCTAAGTGGCCTATTCGTAGGTGAGTGTTGATGATGGGGCATGAAGGAGACGTCTTTCTTATGTCTCCACGCGTCACTTGCAACCCGTTGATGTTTAAACGAAACCATGAACGCAAGGTTTGGGAATGTTGGAATTGTGATTGAAACAAAAAAAGAAACGTAAAAGCTTTGAGAATTAAAAGAAAAGTATGAAACTGGAATTCTAAGAAAACGTTTGTTGATATAATGTTTTTGGTTAATTATTCTCTCTTCTAAGCTCACATATATATAGCTTAGAGCCTTTAACATATTTGTAAGAAGGAAATTTCCTTATTCTAAGTTCCGTGCTTTGTATATGTTTGCTCCGTTTGTAACTGTGTCTTCTTCTTCTTTAGTTTAGGTTTCACCATTTCTCAATCCAGAAGCTTCTTCCTCCATCGATTCCTTTTGGTTCTCAATTAGAGAAGACAAGCTTACTCCAACAGGGAAGAGACGAGAGAACTCGGCGGCTTGACAGTCAGTATTTGCCTGTGACCCTTCCTCTCTTATAAGAGCTGGTCTCTCGGCAGAGGATAGAAACAGAATATATACATCGCATCTTGGGCACGAGAAAATTCATTGAATTGATATCTTTTGGGTGCTTCAAACAAACTCAGGGATTGAGACACAAACTCTCTCCATCTAACGAGGTTTTGCACTATTGCTATAGGCTATTGAAGCCTTGTAACATAGGTAGCTTATACATTTTGGTAAAAAAAAATGCATGAAGTGTTGACATATTCTAGACTTGAGAGTCCTAAGATTAACTGTCTTTAGTTTTAGACTTCTATAAACTCAAAAACTTTACTTGGGTCCATATCTTCACTCTAGACTTGATCTCATTGTCTTGAGGATTTTGTCGATTCCCATTATCTTCAGCCACTGGTAGTTGAACCACCTCATGGATTCTACATATCGAAGCCACTACATTACTATACATATCTAAAGAGACGCCCGATGATTTCACGGCTTCAGTCAGATACGTATCGAGCTTCCTAGGACAGTTAATGAGAACTTGTTCTGCCAACCTCCGTGATACTTGTGGAACCTGAGGACACAAGTTGAAAGAGTTAACAAAAGAGAAACATTTGGTTTCTGAAATCAGAGGTATATATGTATCACCTTATTATCCTTTTTAACATAATGTAGAATTGGTGAAAGCAACTCTGGAGGTACATCATCGCTTTCTTCTAAAACAAAGGTCATAATGTTCTCCATATATAAAAATATTTTCATTGGATGATGATCCCTGAAAAAGGAAAATATTATAAATTTACTACATTACCAACTTCAATTGTAGCAGAATAGAAACTTATAATTATTAGCTTTTGTACCTTAGGGACTTGAGAAAATGTTGGAACATCTCAATAACAAGTGCATCACATCCAAGATCCAACATGACAATAGACATGTTGAGCTTAGACACAGTTTCAAGGATCTCTATACTCTTGGCATAGGAGATACTACTACACATGTCAGATAGATGTTCAAATGACGACACAATTAATTGCAATACTTCCTGCGTGTGAATCATAGAAAACATTCGGTGAACAAACCCACATTATGCTTATTTTTCCTTGAAAGATATATAAAACTACTACACAAGAACGTACGTACCTTCATCTTTTCATCGTCGTCATACGGAGCGTTTGGAACAGTTATTCTCATAATCTGAGTGATGCAACCTGCGACAGAAACTTTCACATGGACATCCGAATGCTCGAAGAGTCTTGGAGCGACTAATGCATCCTTCAACGGAGAGAGTGCATTCGTCACTGAGATGGGAGGATCCTGTTTCACCTCTGACAAGCAGAGGAAAAGTTTCTGCAGCAAAATACATCAAAAACATGAGTTTCATGAGATATGAATTACCATTCAACAAAAGATAGTTCAAATTCCGACATGTAAATAAAAATAAAAAAACCAAATTCTTAGCATATATTGTGCTAAACTACGAACACGAAACGGTGAAGGAGCTCACATCGACAAGTTGAAGAAGCATCTCGAGTGAAGAAGGGTCAAGAAGATTTTTCCCATATTCGAGAAGACGTTTCTCGAGGGTTATAATTTCAGAAACCGACATGACTCTTCTTCCTCCTTGATTGTTATCACTTGCTCGCTTTTATCCAAAGCCCTAA